CATCTTGGTAATTATTTAAGTTTGTCTTCATTTTCTTTGTTGTTTATTTGTTCTTTCAAATCATTTATTTATTTTTTTCGTTTTTGCGTTTGTCATCATTTACTATTACGAACCGTGTCAATCACATGGATTTAATAATAACTTTTTTTTAATGCTACACTATATTATTTAACCGATGGCCATTCTTAGATAGTTACATCAATTAGCTGATTTTTTACGGCTTATCAACCCTTTGCTAGATATTTAAAGCCCGGAAATATTATAGATTGTTAGAATTTATTTGGCGAAAATATTCATCGTCGTCGTTAACGAAATTCGTTGCAGATTATAGGGATACTCATAGACATCTCCTTCTGTATGATGTTAGTGCTATGTCGGATCTGAAGAGACGTCTGTATACACCGCATGCTAAGGGAACAGGGTCCAGGAGGACGGCGAGTTCTGGCTTTACTTTGGGCTCTCTTTGTATCTTTTATGCGTCTTCTGCTCTTTTCGAAGGATTTTATTTTTTTCGTGGATCCCTCTTCCCCGATCATTTCTTTCTGCTGCTTTCGTTACACAATAATCAGATTGATTTTTATCCTCAGCTGATCCTTGAACTGACGACGTGAGGTTTACCAGATGCGAGCTTCGGGAAGAGGATATTTTGTGGGTAGGCAACTGCCTCGTATTCGAGCAAGGTACCCTGCTCATTATTAGGAGATAATAATTATTTAGTAATAAAATACAATAATTAATCCAGAGCTGGGAGTATAATGGGCGGATTCACGCCTTTCCCAAGGGAATTTATCCGTAAGTGAATGAAACGAACCCGACTGAAATTAAAACATATCCCTCGGATTTCCGATTCCTTATTGTTGTCCATTACAATACCCGCTCATCTAAGTGCAGAGGTGTAGTTTGAATTGTTGTGGTTGTGTATAGTATTTATTGGCTAGGGTCATCATAAATATAAGCAAGATCAAAGAAGGCTGTGTTCTTGTAAAACAACAGCCTACATTAATTTATGAACAACAATACACGAGAGAAAAAACAATCAAGCTCAGTGAACATTAATAATATATTGTATTAATAATGGTATAAAAATTTCAACAATAAGTATAAAAAAAGTTGCTTCCCTTTTTCCGTAATAAAAAAGGGTAAGTTTAGCTAATAAATGTTGAGTACATAATTGAATGTAATTTAACTACAAAGTTCAGTTGAGACTTTAGCTAAATAAAGATTAGTTCCACAGTGTTTTATCAGTGTAGAAAGATGTAATGTTCATGAGTGATATCAATAAGAATTAGTATGATTACTCGAATGAGTAAGAATTAAAATGTCATATATAGCGCCGTGCCTTATTTTCCAAGAATTGAACTGCTACTGGCTGTTGGCAAACAGCGAGAGTCTTTATATAACGATGGGTAGGCTCCGGAGAGCTTGGCGCTAAAAATATAGAAAAGATACTAAAATACCCGATTGGTCAGGAAATGGACCAATCCGTGATTTTAGAGAAAAAAATTGAATTACTTGCGATGGTTAAATTGTCATATAATAAGTATCATATATTTATTAACCAATGCCATTAAAGAAAGCGGAGGTGTGGCACATGTAAGTGATTCCCATATAAGCACACACCAGCTGGCATTCTCAAGCAACCACCCATCGATGTACTGACCAGGCTTGACGTTGCTTAAGTTCGCTGATCGTACAAGAACCAGTATTTCAACATCATATGGCTGTAAGTCACACGACTCGTATATCCGAGCTTAAGTCACCTGCTTTTCCCCAAACAGTCGCCTATTTAGGTACTGGCCAGGCTCAACTTTGCTTAACTTCAGTGATCGTGCGGGGAATCGCTATTTCAATGTGATGTGTCCGTTAGCCTCAGATAGAAAATAACTGACATCGACTCTCTTAAATATACTGAAATGCTCTCAACAAATCGTTAAGTCAGCAAACATGGATTTAAGTCAAACAATTAACTTTATTAAAGATGACACCCCACTCAAAATCATCTTTGTGTCGCACTCTTTTTTTTGTCTCTCTCAATCTTTGTTCTACTTTCTATGTACTTTTCCCTTTCTGTTTGCCTCTCAGTCAAGCATGACAAACACCGTACATAGGTAGGTACAAGCGTATTAGTATATAGACTAGTAGAAACCGAGGAAATCACACCTATTTACTAATAAATCATACTTATTATAAAACCCAGGTTGAGTGCATGTGTGTCTGTACGTTTATATATTGAATCGGATTTCCTACATGTTTCAACCGATTTCAACAAAACTTCACAAGACTACGTAAAATTACCTCGCGGTGGTTCTGACAGCGCCCAAAATTGGAAAAACACAATTGTTTTTGCACGAAATCAATTTGAAAACATGATTAAGAGGCATCGCTGTTTCGAGAATGAAAGAGAGACAACTCATATCGAGTTATACTTATTATAAAACCCAGGTTGTTTGTGTGTGTGTGTGTGTTCGTTTATATATGTGATCGGATTTCCTACATTTTTCAACCGATTTCAACAAAACTTCACTTTTTTTGGCGGGTAGTATTTCTTATTGTCTTGCACACTTTTTTCTTTATTTTTACATTCAGAATGCTTTAAAAATTCTATTTACAAGACAATTGTTTATAATAAAATTCTATTCAATCGGTAGACTCATAACGATTGAAAACAATGTTTTTCTTTGAGTAAAATAAAAATTAAAAAAAAATAAATAAAATAAAAATAATTAAGACATGCGTGTCCGTCAACCTTAAACAATAATCTTTGTCAATTTTATTTTTCAGTCTTTATGATGGTCGATACTTGATCTATCTCTTATTGTTACATCCCCGGGCAACGCCGGGCTCTACTGCTAGTCCGTTAACATGGCGCTCTGTCTTTTTTAAACGATGACCATCTTCAGATGGAAAGAAAGTGATAAAGTCTCCTTTTAAAATAATAAAATGTTCTCAACATATTGTTCGGTCAAGTAGCATGATTCAATCACTCACTACAAACAAAAGTCTTCATCTCTGGCAACACCCCCAATCCCGCTCTCTTCTTTGAATCTCTCTCTCTCTCTCCCCTCTCTCTCTCTTTGTATCTTTTTCGGGTGCCCAACACGGCCTGGGTTCCCTTAGCTTGTTACAAATTAGCAAAAATAAGATTAGAAAAATGAATGATTATAATTGCAAAAGCCAACTTACAATTCTAAGGCGAGTTTACACTCTACAGACCGTTAGGTCACGAAACATGATTCAGCCCCTGACTATAAACAAATGCCTTCATCTTAGATGTCCCCCACCCCGTAAATGATACTTTCTTATCTCTCTCTCTCTCTCTTTCTGGCTCACAACATGGCTGGTTCGATTACTCTTACCATGTTATTACCATGTTACAAATTAGCAAAAAATAAGATTAGAAAATAAGATTAGAAAATGAATGATTATAATTGCAAAAAGGCAACTTATAGTTCTGCAGTGAGTTTAGACTTACAGATCATTAGTTCACGAAATGATTCAGCCCCTGTTAAACAAATGCCTTCATCTTAGATGTTACAAATTAGCTCTCTGTATCTGTTTCTGGCGCAAAAATTACCATAAAATTACCATGTTACATTACCATGTTACAAATTAGCAAAAAATAAGATTAGAAAAATAAGATTAGAAAATGAATGATTATAATTGCAAAAGGCAACTTATAGTTCTGCAGTGAGTTTAGACTCTACAGATCATTAGGTCACGAAACATGATTCAGCCCCTGACTATAAACAAATGACTTCATCTTAGATGTCCCCCAAATTACCCCGTAAATGATACTTTCTTATTATCTTGCAAAAGGCAAACTCTCTCTCTCTCTGTATCTGTTTGTTTCTGGCGCACAACATGGCCATCTTGGTTCGATTACCATGTTACAAATTACCATGTTACATTACCATGTTACAAATTAGCAAAATAAGATTAGAAAAATAAGATTAGAAAAATGAATGATTATAATTGCAAAAGGCAACTTATAGTTCTGCAGTGAGTTTAGACTCTACAGATCATTAGGTCACGAAACATGATTCAGCCCCTGACTATAAACAAATGCCTTCATCTTAGATGTCCCCCCCCCCGTAAATGATACTTTCTTATCTCTCTCTCTCTCTCTCTCTCTCTCTGTATCTGTTTCTGGCGCACAACATGGCCTGGTTCGATTACCATGTTACAAATTACCATGTTACATTACCATGTTACAAATTAGCAAAAATAAGATTAGAAAAATAAGATTAGAAAAATGAATGATTATAATTGCAAAAGGCAACTTATAGTTCTGCAGTGAGTTTAGACTCTACAGATCATTAGGTCACGAAACATGATTCAGCCCCTGACTATAAACAAATGCCTTCATCTTAGATGTCCCCCCCACCCCGTAAATGATACTTTTCTTATCTCTCTCTCTCTCTCTCTCTCTCTGTATCTGTTTCTGGCGCACAACATGGCCTGGTTCCATTACCATGTTACAAATTACCATGTTACATTACCATGTTACAAATTAGCAAAAAATAAGATTAGAAAATAAGATTATAAAAATGAATGATTATAATTGCAAAAGGCAACTTATAGTTCTGCAGTGAGTTTAGACTCTACAGATCATTAGGTCACGAAACATGATTCAGCCCCTGACTATAAACAAATGCCTTCATCTTAGATGTCCCCCCCACCCCGTAAATGATACTTTCTTATCTCTCTCTCTCTCTCTCTCTCTCTGTATCTGTTTCTGGCGCACAACATGGCCTGGTTCGATTACCATGTTACAAATTACCATGTTACATTACCATGTTACAAATTAGCAAAAATAAGATTAGAAAAATAAGATTAGAAAAATGAATGATTATAATTGCAAAAGGCAACTTATAGTTCTGCAGTGAGTTTAGACTCTACAAATCATTTAGGTCCCCCCACCCGAAACATGATTCAGCCCACAACATGACTATAAACAAATGCCTTCATCTTAGATGTCCCCCCACCCAGATCATTAGTAAATGATTCACCCTTTCTTATCTCTCTCTCTCTCTCTCTCTCTCTCTCTGTATCTGTTTCGCACAACATGGCCTGGTTCGATTACCATGTTACAAATTACCATGTTACATTACCATGTTACAAATTAGCAAAAATAAGATTAGAAAAATAAGATTAGAAAAATGAATGATTATAATTGCAAAAGGCAACTTATAGTTCTGCAGTGAGTTTAGACTCTACAGATCATTAGGTCACGAAACATGATTCAGCCCCTGACTATAAACAAATGCCTTCATCTTAGATGTCCCCCCCACCCCGTAAATGATACTTTCTTATCTCTCTCTCTCTCTCTCTCTCTCTCTCTGTATCTGTTTCTGGCGCACAACATGGCCTGGTTCGATTACCATGTTACAAATTACCATGTTACATTACCATGTTACAAATTAGCAAAAATAAGATTAGAAAAATAAGATTAGAAAAATGAATGATTATAATTGCAAAAGGCAACTTATAGTTCTGCAGTGAGTTTAGACTCTACAGATCATTAGGTCACGAAACATGATTCAGCCCCTGACTATAAACAAATGCCTTCATCTTAGATGTCCCCCCCCACCCCGTAAATGATACTTTCTTATCTCTCTCTCTCTCTCTCTCTCTGTATCTGTTTCTGGCCTGGTTCGATTACCATGTTACAAATTACCATGTTATGGTTGGCAAATTAGCAAAATGGTAGAAAAATCGATTATAATTGCAAAAGGCAACTTACTGCATGATCATTAGGTCAAATGATTCACCCTGACTATAAACAAATGTTATCAGATTACCATGTAAATACAAATTAGTATCTGTTTCAAAACATGGCCTGTTCTGATTAGATTAGAAAAAATAAGATTAGAAAAATAAGATTAGAAAAATGAATGATTATAATTGCAAAAGGCAACTTATAGTTCTGCAGTGAGTTTAGACTCTACAGATCATTAGGTCACGAAACATGATTCAGCCCCTGACTATAAACAAATGCCTTCATCTTAGATGTCCCCCCCACCCCGTAAATGATACTTTCTTATCTCTCTCTCTCTCTCTCTCTGTATCTGTTTCTGGCGCACAACATGGCCTGGTTCGATTACCATGTTACAAATTACCATGTTACATTACCATGTTACAAATTAGCAAAAATAAGATTAGAAAAATAAGATTAGAAAATGAATGATTATAATTGCAAAAGGCAACTTATAGTTCTGCAGTGAGTTTAGACTCTACAGATCATTAGGTCACGAAAACATGATTCAGCCCCTGACTATAAACAAATGCCTTCATCTTAGATGTCCCCCCACCCCCGTAAATGATACTTTCTTATCTCTCTCTCTCTCTCTCTCTGTATCTGTTTCTGGCGCACAACATGGCCTGGTTCGATTACCATGTTACAAATTACCATGTTAAAAATACCATGTTAATAAATTAGAAAAAATGAATGATTATAATTGAAAAAACTTATAGTTCTGCAGTGAGAAAGATCATTGATTATAACATGATTCAGCCCCTGACTATAAACAAATGCAATCTTAGATGTTCCCCCCACCCCGTAAATGATACTTTCTTATACTCTCTCTCTCTCTCTCTCTGTATCTGTTTCTTAACATGGCCTCACGATTACCATGTTATGATTACCATGTTACATTACCTTGTTACAAATTAGCAAAATAAGATTATAAATAAGATTAGAAAATGAATGATTATAATTGCAAAAAGCAACTTATATGTCCCCCAGATCATTAGGTCACGAAACATGATTCAGCCCCTGACTATAAACAAATGCCTTCATCTTAGATGTCCCCCACCCCGTAAATGATCTTTCTTATCTCTCTCTCTCTCTCTCTCTCTGTATCTGTTTCTGGCGCACAACATGGCCTGGTTCGATTACCATGTTACAAATTACCATGTTACATTACCATGTTACAAATTAGCAAAAATAAGATTAGAAAAATAAGATTAGAAAAATGAATGATTATAATTGCAAAAAGGCAACTTATAGTTCTGCAGTGAGTTTAGACTCTACAGATCATTAGGTCACGAAACATGATTCAGCCCCTGACTATAAACAAATGCCTTCATCTTAGATGTCCCCCACCCCCCGTAAATGATACTTTCTTATCTCTCTCTCTCTCTCTCTCTCTGTATCTGTTTCTTGGCACAACATGGCCTGGTTCGATTACCATGTTACAAATTACCATGTTACATTACCATGTTACAAATTAGCAAAAATAAGATTAGAAAAATAAGATTAGAAAATGAATGATTATAATTGCAAAAGGCAACTTATAGTTCTGCAGTGAGTTTAGACTCTACAGATCATTAGGTCACGAAACATGATTCAGCCCCTGACTATAAACAAATGCCTTCATCTTAGATGTCCCCCCACCCCGTAAATGATACTTTCTCTCTCTCTCTCTCTCTCTCTCTCTCTGTATCTGTTTCTGGCGCACAACATGGCCTGGTTCGATTACCATGTTACAAATTACCATGTTACATTACCATGTTACAAATTAGCAAAAATAAGATTAGAAAATAAGATTAGAAAATGAATGATTATAATTGCAAAAGGCAACTTATAGTTCTGCAGTGAGTTTAGACTCTACAGATCATTAGGTCACGAAACATGATTCAGCCCCTGACTATAAACAAATGCCTTCATCTTAGATGTCCCCCCCACCCCGTAAATGATACTTTCTTATCTCTCTCTCTCTCTCTCTCTCTGTATCTGTTTCTGGCGCACAACATGGCCTGGTTCGATTACCATGTTACAAATTACCATGTTACATTACCATGTTACAAATTAGCAAAAATAAGATTAGAAAAATAAGATTAGAAAAATGAATGATTATAATTGCAAAAGGCAACTTATAGTTCTGCAGTGAGTTTAGACTCTACAGATCATTAGGTCACGAAACATGATTCAGCCCCTGACTATAAACAAATGCCTTCATCTTAGATGTCCCCCCCACCCCGTAAATGATACTTTCTTATCTCTCTCTCTCTCTCTCTCTCTGTATCTGTTTCTGCACAACATGGCCTGGTTCGATTACCATATTTACAAATTACCATGTTACATTACCATGTTACAAATTAGCAAAAATAAGATTAGAAAAATAAGATTAGAAAATGAATGATTATAATTGCAAAAGGCAACTTATAGTTCTGCAGTGAGTTTAGACTCTACAGATCATTAGGTCACGAAACATGATTCAGCCCCTGACTATAAACAAATGCCTTCATCTTAGATGTCCCCCCCACCCCGTAAATGATACTTTCTTCTCTCTCTCTCTCTCTCTGTATCTGTTTCTGGCGCACAAACATGGCCTGGTTCGATTACCATGTTACAAATTACCATGTTACATTACCATGTTACAAATTAGCAAAAATAAGATTAGAAAAATAAGATTAGAAAAATGAATGATTATAATTGCAAAGGCAACTTATAGTTCTGCAGTGAGTTTAGACTCTACAGATCATTAGGTCACGAAACATGATTCAGCCCCTGACTATAAACAAATGCCTTCATCTTAGATGTCCCCCACCCCGTAAATGATACTTTCTTCTCTCTCTCTCTCTCTCTCTCTCTGTATCTGTTTCTGGCACAACATGGCCTGGTTCGATTACCATGTTACAAATTACCATGTTACATTACCATGTTACAAATTAGCAAAAATAAGATTAGAAAAATAAGATTAGAAAAATGAATGATTATAATTGCAAAAGGCAACTTATAGTTCTGCAGTGAGTTTAGACTCTACAGATCATTAGGTCACGAAACATGATTCAGCCCTGACTATAAACAAATGCCTTCATCTTAGATGTCCCCCCCACCCCGTAAATGATACTTTTTAGAAAATAAGATTAAAAATATTTAATTGGAAAAAACTTAAGTTCTGCAAAACTGACAGGATTTAGGTAAAACATGATTCAGCTCTCTCTCTCTCTCTCTCTCTCTCTCTGTATCTGTTTCTGGCGCACAACATGGCCTGGTTCGATTACCATGTTACAAATTACCATGTTACATTACCATGTTACAAATTAGCAAAAAATAAGATTAGAAAAATAAGATTAGAAAATGAATGATTATAATTGCAAAAGGCAACTTATAGTTCTGCAGTGAGTTTAGACTCTACAGATCATTAGGTCACGAAAACATGATTCAGACTATAAACAAATGCATTCATCTTAGATGTCCCCCACCCCCGAAACATGATTCATCTGTTTCTGGCCTGGCCTGGTTCGATTAAACAAATTACCTTCATCTTTAGAAAAAATAAGATTAGTCCCCCCAATCCCGTAAATGAGTTTAGACTTACAGATCATTAGGTCTCTTCAGCCCCTCTATAAACAAATGCCTTCATCTTAGTGTCCCCCACCCCGTAAATGATTTCTTTCTCACTTTTATCTCCTGGTATCTGTTTTCCTATGTTGGCAATTACCATGTTACAAATTACCATGTTACATTACCATGTTACAAATTAGCAAAAATAAGATTAGAAAAATAAGATTATAAAATGAATGATTATAATTGCAAAAGGCAACTTATAGTTCTGCAGTGAGTTTAGACTCTACAGATCATTAGGTCACGAAACATGATTCAGCCCCTGACTATAAACAAATGCCTTCATCTTAGATGTCCCCCCCACCCGTAAATGATACTTTCTTATCTCTCTCTCTCTCTCTGTTTCTCTGGCCTGGTTCGATTACCATGTTACAAATTACCATGTTACATTACCATGTTACAAATTAGCAAAAATAAGATTAGAAAAATAAGATTAGAAAATGAATGATTATAATTGGTAAAGGCAACTTATAGTTCTGCAGCGAGTTAGACTCTACAGATCATTAGGTCACGAAACATGATTCAGCCCCTGACTATAAAACAAATGCCTTCATCTTAGATGTCCCCCCCCCACCCCAAATGATACTTTCTTATCTCTCTCTCTCTCTCTCTGTTGTTTCTGGCACAACATGGCCTGGTTCGATTACCATGTTAAAATGTTATTAGCAAAAATTAGCAAAAAATAAATGATTAGAAAAAATAAGATTAGAAAATGAATGATTATAATTGCAAAAGGCAACTTATAGTTCTGCAGTGAGTTTAGACTCTACAGATCATTAGGTCACGAAACATGATTCAGCCCCTGACTATAAACAAATGCCTTCATCTTTGATGTCCCCCCCACCCGTAAATGATACTTTCTTATCTCTCTCTCTCTCTCTCTCTCTGTATCTGTTTTCTGGCGCACAACATGGCCTGGTTCGATTACCATGTTACAAATTACCATGTTACATTACCATGTTACAAATTAGCAAAATAAGATTAGAAAAATAAGATTAGAAAATGAATGATTATAATTGCAAAAGGCAACTTATAGTTCTGCAGTGAGTTTAGACTCTACAGATCATTAGGTCACGAAACATGATTCAGCCCCTGACTATAAACAAATGCCTTCATCTTAGATGTCCCCCCACCCCGTAAATGATACTTTCTTATCTCTCTCTCTCTCTCTCTCTCTCTCTGTATCTTGGCTTTACTCTACCCTATTCTATATAAAGCAATAATCGGTCAATACGTTCTGTCTGAGTTGAAAGTCTTATTATAATTTAGAAAAAATCACACAGTCTCTCATCCAATGTTTGAGGATTACAGCAGAAATAAGTAGAAATTTAGAAATTATTATTAAAAATTGTAATTTGAACTGTAACGATGGACGGGCTCGTCCGGGAATTGAACCCGGGACCACTCGCACCCTAAGCGAGTATCATACCCCCAGACCAACGAGCCATTACTACCCTATTCATAATATAAAGCAATAATCGGTCAATACGTTCTGTCTGAGTTGAAAGTCTTTATTATAATTGAAAAATCACACAGTCTCTCATCCAATGTTTGAGGATTACAGCAGAAATAAGTGAAATTTAGAAATTATTATTAAAATTGTAATTTGAACTGTAACGATGGACGGGCTCGTCCGGGAATTGAACCTGGACCACTCGCACCCTAAGCGAGTATATCATACCCCTAGACCAACGAGCCATTACTACCCTTTCTATAATATAAAAGCAATAATCGGTCAATACGTTCTGTCTGAGTTGAAAGTCTTTATTATAATTGAAAAAATCACACAGTCTCTCATCCAATGTTTGAGGATTACAGCAGAAATAAGTAGAAATTTAGAAATTATTATTAAAATTGTAATTTGAACTGTAACGATGGACGGGCTCGTCCGGCAATTGAACCCGGGACCACTCGCACCCTAAGCGAGCATCATACCCCTAGACCAACGAGTCATTACTACCCTATTCTATAATATAAAAGCAATAATCGGTCAATACGTTCTGTCTGAGTTGAAAGAAAAATCTTTATTATAATTGAAAAAAATCTGTAACATGGACTCTCTCATCCAATGTTTGAGGATTACTACCATTCTAAATAAAAAGTAATCGAAATTTAGAAATTATTATTTGAAAAATTCTCTCATCCAATGTTTGAGGATTTGAAAATTTTTTGAACTGTAACGATGGACGGGCTCGTCCGGGAATTGAACCCTTACCACTCGCACCCTAAGCGAGTATCATACCCCCTAGACCAACGAGCCATTACTACCCTATTCTATAATATAAAAGCAATAATCGGTCAATACGTTCTGTCTGAGTTGAAAGTCTTTATTATAATTGAAAAAATCACACAGTCTCTCATCCAATGTTTGAGGATTACAGCAGAAATAAGTAGAAATTTAGAAATTATTATTAAAATTGTAATTTGAACTGTAACGATGGACGGGCTCGTCCGGGAATTGAACCCGGGACCACTCGCACCCTAAGCGAGTATCATACCCCTAGACCAACGAGCCATTACTACCCTATTCTATAATATAAAAGCAATAATCGGTCAATACGTTCTGTCTGAGTTGAAAGTCTTTATTATAATTGAAAAATCACACAGTCTCATCCAATGTTTGAGGATTACAGCAGAAATAAGTAGAAATTTAGAAATTATTATTAAAATTGTAATTTGAACTGTAACGATGGACGGGCTTCCGAATTGAACCCGGGACCACTCGCACCCTAAGCAGTATCATACCCCTAGACCAACGAGCCATTACCCCTATTCTATAATATAAAAGCAATAATCGGTCAATACGTTCTGTCTGAGTTGAAAGTCTTTATTATAATTGAAAAAATCACAGTAGTTTGAGGATTACAGAAAAATAAGTTATAATTGAAATTTAGAAATTATTATTAAAATTGTAATTTGAACTGTAACGATGGACGGGCTCGTCCGGGAATTGAACCAGGACCACTCGCACCCTAAGCGAGTATCATACCCCTAGACCAACGAGCCATTACTACCCTATTCTATAATATAAAAAGCAATAATCGGTCAATACGTTCTGTCTGAGTTGAAAATAAGTCTTTATTATAATTGAAAAAATCACAGTCTCTCATCCAATGTTTGAGGATTACAGACCAACGAAATAAGTAGAAATTTGTCTGAGAAATTATTATAATTGAAAAATTGTAATTTGAACTGTAACGATGGACGGCTCGTCCGTCCGGAATTGAACCCGGGACCACTCGCACCCTAAGCGAGTATCATACCCCCAGACCAACGAGCCATTACTACCCTATTCTATAATATAAAAGCAATAATCGGTCAATACGTTCTGTCTGAGTTGAAAGTCTTTATTATAATTGAAAAAATCACACAGTCTCTCATCCAATGTTTGAGGATTACAGCAGAAATAAGTAGAAATTTAGAAATTATTATTAAAATTGTAATTTGAACTGTAACGATGGACGGGCTCGTCCGGGAATTGAACCCGGACCACTCGCACCCTAAGCGAGTATCATACCCCCTAGACCAACGAGCCATTACTACCCTATTCTATAATATAAAAGCAATAATCGGTCAATACGTTCTGTCTGAGTTGAAAGTCTTTATTATAATTGAAAAAATCACACAGTCTCTCATCCAATGTTTGAGGATTACAGCAGAAATAAGTAGAAATTTAGAAATTATTATTAAAATTATAATTTGAACTGTAACGATGGACGGGCTCGTCCGGGAATTGAACCAGGACCACTCGCACCCTAAGCGAGTATCATACCCCCCTAGACCAACGAGCCATTACTACCCTATTCTATAATATAAAAGCAATAATCGGTCAAAAGTACGTTCTGTCTGAGTTGAAATAAGTCTTTTATTATTAAAATAAATTTGAAAACGATGGACGGGCTCGTCCAATTGAGTTGAAAGTCATTAAAATCACACAGTCTCTCATCCAATGTTTGAGGATTACAGCAGAAATAAGTAGAAATTTAGAAATTATTATTAAATTGTAATTTGAACTGTAACGATGGACGGGCTCGTCCGGGAATTGAACCACTCGCCACTCGCACCCTAAGCGAGTATCATACCCCCTAGACCAACGAGCCATTACTACCCTATTCTATAATATAAAAGCAATAATCGGTCAATACGTTCTGTCTGAGTTGAAAGTCTTTATTATAATTGAAAAAATCACACAGTCTCTCATCCAATGTTTGAGGATTACAGCAGAAATAAGTAGAATTTAAAAATTATTATTAAAATTGTAATTTGAACTGTAACGATGGACGGGCTCGTCCGGGAATTGAACCAGGGACCACTCGCACCCCTAAGCGAGTATCATACCCCTCGTCCAGACCAACGAGCCATTACTACCCTATTCTATAATATAAAAGCAATAATCGGTCAATACGTTCTGTCTGAGTTGAAAGTCTTTATTATAATTGAAAAAATCACACAGTCTCTCATCCAATGTTTGAGGATTACAGCAGAAATAAGTAGAAATTTAGAAATTATTATTAAAATTGTAATTTGAACTGTAACGATGGACGGGCTCGTCCGGGAATTGAACCCGGACCACTCGCACCCTAAGCGAGTATCATACCCCTAGACCAACGAGCCATTACTACCCTATTCTATAATATAAAAGCAATAATCGGTCAATACGTTCTGTCTGAGTTGAAAGTCTTTATTATAATTGAAAAAAT